GGTGAGTTGGGGGAGGAGGGTGGGGGAGGAAAGTAAATATTTGTAAAAGTTTGTTTTTCAAAATTTTCATTAAAAAAAAATCTTTAAAAAGAAAAGAAAAGGTTTCGCTTCTCATCCGAGAAGCTTCATTGGTTCTGGCTGAACATTGGAGGCTGCAGAAGCTGAAGAAGCGGCTTGGGCAAGAAGGAAAATGTCTTCAAGGGAAAGCAAAATCCAGTGGCCTTTTGAAAAAGCATCCTTGGGTCAGTGAATAAAAAGCCCTCGCGGGAGGAAATATCCCGAGGAAGCCATCCTGGGGAAACAATTTGAACAAAGGTGGAAGATAAATGAAGCGGCACCCAGTGGGGTCATCTCGATCAGTGGTCTCCAACTTTGGCAACGTTAAGACGTGTGGACTTCAACTCCCAGAGTTCCTCAGCCAGCTTTGCGAAGCTGGCTGAGGAACTCTGGGAGTTGAAGTCCACACGTCTTAAAGTTGCCAAGGTTTTGAGACCACTGATCTAGATGATGATTATACAGCCGGAGGAAGCAAAAAGATATTTTTAGGCCTCATTACTTTTCCTTTCATACAAAGATTCTTACAAAGTTTAGGCAAAGGGAGACGAACATTTTTGACGTTATCTAATTACTTGCGGGTCACTTGGGAATACGCTGATATAAAACCCAATAAAAATCACTGGGGCTCGTTAATAGAAATTTGTCTGCGGGCTACGCTAGTTGGGGCGTGATAGTTATTAAACAGGGTTGATACGGTAGCTATTTGTCCATTTGGGATGTGGTGGCTCAGGGGCTAAGACACTGAACTTGTCAATCAGAAAGGTCAGCAGTTCGGCGGTTCGAATCCCTAGTGCTGCATAACGGAGTGAGCTCCCGTGACTTGTCCTAGCTTCTGCCAACCTAGCAGTTCGAAAGCACGTAAAAAAAATGCAAGTAGAAAAATAGGAACCACCTTTGGTGGGAAGGAAACAGAATTCTGTGAACCTTCGGTGTTGAGTCATGCCGGGGACATGACCACGGAGACGTCTTCGGACAGCGCTGGCTCTTCGGCTTTGAAATGGAGATGAGCAGCACCACCCCCTAGAGTCGGGAATGGCTAGCACATATGTGCAAGGGGAATTTTACCTTTACCTTACAGTAGCTATTACTATTGAATTGCTCCAGTTGTTAAGTTAGTGACACGGCTGTGAATTGAATCTGTCTCCCCTGTTGGAATCGGTCCCCCCCAAGACATGGCGACCGTCATAAATGTGAGTCAGTGATCAAGCGTCCCAATGTCAGGCACATGAGCACGGGGAGGATACGATGCTCGTAAGTGTGAAAAATGGTCATACGTCACTTTTTCCCCATGCCGTTGTAACTTTGAACAGCCAGTAAGTGAACTGTTGAATGTCGAGGGCTGCCTGTGTGAACAATTTCATGCAGTATCCTGAGGTGCTGTGATCACCATTTGTGGCAGNTCTCTTTGTCTGTCTGTCTGTCTCTCTCTCTCTGTTTGTGTGTGTGTGTGCATGTCTGTCTCTCTGTCTCTCTGTCTCTATCTCTCTCTCTTACACACACACACATTCACCAACACAGAATAGGGAAAGTGTAAACACTGGAATTGACAGAACAAGAGATATTCACGGACATCAATCTGGACCGAACGGGTTGTAAAAGCCCGATGAACTGCCCACATCCCATTTTTCATCACCCATTGATGGATGAAGGTCAGCCAACCCTGATCGCTGGCATGGTTGAATGGACCAGCGTTGCCAAGGCAACGAGATGCGATGCTTTCCTGTTAGGGCTTCATCAGACAATTCAAGAAAGAAAGAAAAAATTAGGCTCTCGTGTCTGCTCATCAACAGGTGATCCTGCCTTTTGGGGGAAAAGCGCATCGTGACTTCACGGGTGCGTTGCCACCTAGACGAGGACGAAAGACGCAGTGAAGGGTTTTATTGGATTGTGTGATTCCCGGACAATCCCTTCTCTTCCCACCTCCGTGTCACTTTAACAAACACCAGACAAATAAGATTACGCTGCCGGGCTTCAATGGCTTTAAATCTGCAAAAGGTTACACCAATAAAACCGGTGAGCCATCGAGGCGACACAAAATGAATTTGGTTCCGCCTGCAGTTCTGCTTTCGAACCAATGTGCCAACAGAAAGGAGAATGAAAAAGGGTGTAAGAGGGAGGAGGAAGAGGGGTATGTGCAGCCCCCATGTGCCACGTTTTGGGCCTGGAAGTCCTCCTGTACCAATCTAGAAGCCAAACGGGGGCACCAGGATGTCGCATGAGCCCCACAGCAACCTGTTTTGGTCCTGGTAAGCCACCTGCACCAAAAGTGGGTTGCTACCAGTTCGCACCAGTTTGCGTGCACCAGTAATGGAATATTGACCTAGGTTGCAGAACCGGCAGTGAGCTGAGGTGGCGCAGTGGTTAAATGCAGCACTNTATCATACAATAAGCCAGGGTTAGTCATTATCTTTGTAACTTTACTTAAATCTACTGCAACTAGGTTGCCTTTGATCGAAGGGGTTAGGAAACCGATGGCTTAGTTCGCACACCATTCTCAACCTAGGCGGGATATAAAATCTAGCAGCGGCTGTTACGCAGCCTGATGGCCTCGATTAATTGTGTGTTTGTGTCTGCCTTTGCACACTTAACTGATGTGATGGATTTATTAGGCAAATATTAGGCAAATCCAGAAAATGGCTGCATTGAGTACACAAAATTAGCATGTTAGGTGTGAACCCTACCATCCAGGATCTGCAGAAGATCCTACCTCTAGTCTTCCAGTGGCGTATAAGACAGAAAAAAACTTTAGTTTCCTATATTCTCTCTCCGCCGCAACATCGAAGTAATCTTAAATTGGTTCCGTTATATCTCCTTTCAGTGGTATAACTAACTAATTCTCACTTCAGGTCCTAGGGCTCAATTAATACTCCATCCTGGAAAACATGGGAACCAAAGGCGCGGATGACACAAAGCTGTTAGACAGCAGGATTGACCAAAAGAAATAATGGGCCCATCTTCATTGAAGGGTATATTTAAGTAGAGGCTGGACCCCCAGCCAAGGCTAAAAGTAGACAATTTGCAGGCGGTGATTCAAGGACGCCTCTCTCTGATGCTTTTTTTTGTGTGCAAAAAACGGAGAAAAACTACTACGAAGAAATTCAGCCATGTGCCAAACGCCAGCTCTGCTTATGACCTCAAAGTAACGAGGTTTAATTCTTGCACTCCTTTTTCCCCCTTCGTGTAGTAGGTCTGTGTGACTTCTTCTCCATGCGCTTGAGACGTGAGTCTCGTGATTGTGGTGGATTATTTCAGCCCCAGGCTGATGGTTCCTAATCTTGTCGGATTTAGCTTGTCACACCACCTTTCAAAGTGAATGCAGTTTTGTCGTTTCCGCATCAGACGGAAGATGCATTTTACCTTTCGGTGGTGTAATTCTGGGGTGTGCAGTTTAAAACGAACACGAGGGTCAGGCCAGACTCCATAGAGAGGGAAATTAAGTACTGTCAAGCAAAGCAGGAGCTGGTCTATTAAATTAAATTCTTGTTATAGGTCAAAGATAAGAAATAGGATTTTGGGCTCTCTTAGCCCTTTAGCTAAAAAGCTAAGATTGAGGGCCGTTTGTAACCAATTTCATCACATTTATGTTTCTGAGTTTGTTCCCCATGCCTCCAATGTTCTTACATTCGTCTCAAAAACTTGTTATCGAAATTGCTTCGACGCAAAACTCTTTGGAAACCAAAGCTCTCTCCGCGATGCAGGCTCCTAATAAAAAACCAGGTGGACCTCTGTCCAAAATCCTTAATCTACCTTGAAGCTTAAGTGACTATCTTTTGGATTTGGACTGTAGCTCCTCCATGCTTTCTGCAAAGATAATAGAAGGCAGACGGAGGTGCTTACTCACGACGAAGCCTGGGAAGGGATGGGTTGCTGAGATGAATAGTTAAGGTATTATAAAACTCCAAGAGCCGAGTGCAGAAAGTGAGTAATTCCAAAGAAGAACAATGTATTCTGTACCAAAGCAGCTTTAAATAATAATGTCTGTGCTCCTTCTCCCCTCTCCTCCCTAAATTAGAAGTAATTCAGAATATAAATAAATCCGTAGTGAGATATAGTGGTGGTTTTTTTCCCCCCTCTCTCTCTTCCTGAGACAACAATCCCATCTCTTGAAATCAAAAGAGGATTAAAAGATTAGGGGTGGGGGGTTTGTTCATGAAAATATATTACTGACATTTCCTGCTCTCTGTAACAAATGGAATATTCTGGCTTCCATTCTGTTTCCTCCTCTGCATATTGGAGAGACACTGAAAACAGGTGCAGGATTCTGCTATCTCAGTCACTGCTTAAATGAAATATCAGCTTCTACAATCTGCGTCCCACAGCCCCAGATTCCTATATTTGCATTTAGAGAGCGGAGGATTTGAGGTCGAACTTTGCATAAAAACTGCTTAGTGCCAAGGATTTATTTCTGCGCAGATATTCCGGAGAGCTATTTTTAATTTAGCTCGCAAATTTGCTCTATTTTTATGGTAAGCTCGGCCCCTTCCGATGGTTAGCTAGAATCCATCTAAAAACCATCCTGATCTGGAGGTTTCAAATAGCTTCTTCTTCTTTTCTCTCCCCTCCCCCCGGAATTCCTACTCGTTTTATTTCGCTTTGGAGATACGGATCTCGGAATCAGAATTTCTGATTGGACGAACAAGTTCAAGATTTTGTCCGGCCTAGAACAGTGTTTCCCAACTTTGGCAACTTGAAGATGTCCGGACTTCCACTCCCAGAATTCCCCAGTCCAGACATCTTCAAGTTGCCAAGGTTGGGAAACACTGGCCTAGAATATCAGAAATCTTCCCTTTCCGTGCATGGACTCATCTTCCCATTGATCCCATCACTCTAAACCAATAAGTCATGTTAGACTTGAGCCAAAGCCACGTCCATGTTCAGACCGAGGAACCGGTTCCTTTCCTGACATGTTCATTTGGAGAATAAAGGACGTGTGCGTGAACCACCTGATAAAGGGTTGAATCAGATCTGTTATGCAATGAACTATGGTTCCTATGAAGTAAAGCGAAATCAGCACATCTTGTTTGATTATTCTGATTAAAAAGGAGTGAAGCGTTGACTCCTCTTGCTCCTTCTTATTAATCTCCCATGGAGGCAGTCAAGCGTAGGCCTGTGAAGGAGGCATCCGGAAGACTAATAGTGACAAGATGTGTCTAGTTTAATTAATGAAGTGGGCTCTCATCCAACAATGCTGATGCTGCCATGCGCTTGTCAACCAACAACTAAACTTTTCTAGACTATCCCTGTGAGATGTATTGGAACTCAACGTTCATCCTCCATCATGGGGAAGGTAGCAGCAGCAAAATAAAATTTTGAGCAGTTGATATGACATTACACTATTAACACTCAACATTCAAGATATATATATTTCTGAGCAATTGTTGCTCGTGACTGGACTATCGTTAAGGCGGTCTATCATCTTCAACGCAACAATGAAAAATCTGTTTTATCATATTATTTTTGAGTTTCAAGAAGATGAATCGAACGGAAAGAAGACTACCCAGTCCTCTGGAGATATCTGGGCAAAAAAAATAATGAGGAAACTTCATCAAGTCATCACGTTTTTTTTCCAAGGATGCCCCCATTTCTGTCTCAGAGATATAACATGGTGACGGTCCTCCAGATAGCCTCCTGATATACTGCATGGTTAAATTACACCAGGATGGCCAGTCAGGTGTTCTAAGCTATGATGTCATCATTCTCAGCCAGCCATATGATGATGTTGTAAGTCAGAACACCTGGAGAGCAGCAAATTGGGGGGGGATATGTCTAGTCTCGTGACACATCACAAGGACTGCATTTCTCACAACACATGCTGAAAAATCAGAGAAGGAGGAAGAAGTGGACAAGAGGTCCCCCTTCCAGCACTTATTAAATTTATACACCCTCTCATGCAACACCTCACACTTACTTTTCTTCCACCAGCTGCTTCTGATACTCTTCATACTCTTCCTTCGTCATCCCTTGGGCTTCCGCTGGAGATTTGTCCCCTTCTCCTTTGTCTTCTCCCCCCAAGCCGCCGGTGAGATTCTTCAGTTGGCCACCAACCATTGACTTCACCATGAAAGCCATGGCTAGGTAGAACGGAGAGCGGCGGCGGCGGCAGATACGGGAGCGGAGTTAGCCCCCCAACTGGAGACGGAGGGAAGACGCTCAAAGTGGGTCGTGGAGGAGGCTGGCTTCTTAGATCAGCATCCCGTCTCTTGTGGAGGAAGGGTCCCCTCGTCGTTTCCCATCGAGGCTCAACGGGATGGGGGGAAGAGTAGACCAAGGCCGAGGAAAGGAAGTTCAGCACCGGGTGTCCGCGGACAGCTCCGAAGAAGCGCGCGCCGGTGGGAACTCTCGCACCCTTGAGGACTCGGGCGAGCTCGTTTCAGCACCTCGGCGCTCGGACAGCGACTGCCGTCGATGGTCGTTCGGGAGGCGATGCGCCGACGGGGCTGATCCGGGAGAAAGACTCTCCTCCCGCCGCGGAGGGCCGTCCTTCCTGAGCCCCAACCCTCTGAAGTTGGTCTAATCTCGACTCTCCAAGCGTGACAAGTTTACTCCGCCCCCTGAGCCCTCCCTCTCTGCCTTCCCGGCCCCACCTTCCTCCTTACTTTTAATTTTTTATTTAATCTTTAAAGAAAAGGGACGGGACGTGCCTTGATGCCCACCGCTCGTTGCTTCCTCCCAGCCTTTGGCAAGAAGGTAGCCTCGACTGGGCGAATCTATCACTGAAGAAGTTACTTGGGGTGAATTCATCCGTTGGGGGGAGGAAGAGTTGCAGTAGGAACTCCAGTCTTTTTGCACCAGCTTTGCTCAGCCTGGCATCGGATGAGCCCAGGTGGCAAATCCAGTGTTTTTGCACCAGCTTTGCTCAGCCTGGCATCGGATGAGCCCAGGTGGCAAATCCAGTGTTTTTGCACCAGCTTTGCTCAGCCTGGCATCGGATGAGCCCAGGTGGCAAATC